GGAGCAGGAGGATGAGCAGAAGGAAAAGGATGAGGACGAACACCAGCTCGGGAGGAAAGAAAAGGAGGACCAGGGGAAGACGGAGGAGTGGAAATGAGGGGGGCGACAACGGTGAAAAAAGACTCGGACTCATAAAAGTGGCCCGCCCTGGTGCGAGACGAACAGCAGCAGCAGCAACAGCAGCAGCAGCAGCAGCAGGAACTGGAGTGGAAGGAACGGTGGGAACAGGAGGACCAGGGGAAGGCGGACGAGGGAACACGAAGGGGGGGCTACAATGAAGCAAGGCTCGGATCCAGACAAATGGCCCGCGCTGAGGCGAGGGCGCCATTCTGAACGACGGGAGCAAAGCGCCGATCCGAAAATGAGGCCCACGCTACAGCGAGAGAAAAATGTTGAAGAATATGTTCGCTGAAATGGAGGGAGATCTTACGGACACTTTCAGGGGAGGAGGGAGAGTATTATTCATATGATTTCAATGTGGGTAGCAGGAGGAGGAGGAGGAGGAGGAGGGGGACGAGAAGGAGGAGGAGGGGAAGGAAGAGGAGGTGGGGGAGAGAGGAGAGGAGGAGGAGGAGGAGGAGAGAGGCGGAGGAGGAGGAAGAGTCCGAGGGGACAGGAGGAGATAGGGAGGAGGAAGAGGAGAGGTAGAAGGAGGAGAGAGGAGTGAGGGATGGGAAGGAGGAGGGAGAGAGAGGGAGGAGGGAGGGGAAATAATGAGGGGAAGAGGAGGAGGAGAAGAGGAGGAGGAGGAGGTGGGAGGAGGGTAAGAGGAGGAGGAGGAGGAGGAGGAGGAGGAGGAGGAGGAATAGGAGCAGGAGGGGAGAAGGCATTCAGGATGCTAAGAAGCAGGAGGAGGAGGAGGAATACGGAGGAGGTAGGATGTAGGAGGTAGGAGATAGGAGGAGGGGGGAGGGAGCATGAAGCATGGATTGGCCTGCCTCCAAAGAGGCAGAAAAGCGAGGAAGGAACACGGAAGGAGGGAGGAAAGAACCCAGACCGCCGACGCGGTGATTTGTCTACAACGTGGACCCCCGAAGGTATCAACCCTCTCCCCGGGACCGGCTCTTCACCCTGAAGTGTTATCTGACAATCCTGGGGCCCAGCGAGGGCCCCCAGAACCCAGAAACAAAAGGAGCAACAAGAAACGTCGCCACTCAATTCACGACACGAGGGGGCCCAGGGAGGGACGGAGGATCGCTCGGCCTGCGTGGCCCGCACGCGCCCCGTCCGCGCCGCGGCGCGGGGCGGGGGCTGGCACGGGGGAAACGCGTCCCGAGGGAAAGGGGCCCTGGACCCACGGGGCCTTCCCCCCAGGACGAGATCTTCACCACAAGCCGTTTTAGGACGGCCCCCGGGGCCCGCAAACGACCTCAGGACCTGTCTCCCTCTCGGCGGCGAGCGAGGGGGGAAATGAGAAGGGGAAGGCCTTCCCAGATGGCTCGGAAGTCCCCAGCATTTTGAGAAGTCTTCTACGCCTTCCCCGAAGACGCAAAAAATCTAGAGTTTCTGAGAAGCCCCCCCGACTTCTGACAGGGCCTTTTCCTTCTCACTCCCCCCCCCCCCTCGCTCGCCGCCGACCCGCAGGGCCTGTTTCCCCGATGGCGACGGAGGGGGCAGGGCCGCTCCTTCAGGGGCTGCTCGTCCCAGTCCTTCCACCTGGCGGGCGACGCCGCCAGGAGCACTGCAAGCGCGGGGGGGGGGAGGAGGCGAAGGGGGCGGGGGGCCGGAGGCGAGGGCGAGTACGAGGAGCGGAGGAGGAAGGGAGGCAGGAGGCAGGAGGGCAGGGGGGATGGGGGAGGGAGGAGGGAGGAAAGACGAGGAGGGGGGGAAGCAGAAGGGAAAGCGGGGAGAGAAAGGCGAAAGGGGGGAGGAGGGAAGGGGGGGAGAGGGGGACTAGGAGGAGAAACGCGAGGAGGAGGGGCGCAGCCTCACGGCCCACTAGCGCCCCGTCGCCCTTCAAACGTGGGTACCAGCCAGGAAGGCAGCATCGGCGAGCACCGCTTCTTTCGCCTCGCCTTCCTCCTCCTACTCCTCGTCGTCCTCCTCCTCCTCCTCCTCCTCCTCTTCCTCCTCCTCCTCTCCTTCTCCACCACCCCCTCCTCCTCCTCCTCCCTCCTCCTCCTCCTTCTCCCTCTTATGTTGTTTAGATCCTTGATATTCTATCTACTTATCATGAAATATATATGATTATTCTTATTTAATTAATAATTATTAAACATAAATTCGTAGAAATACTGGTTATAAATTAATTATTAATAGTATTAGTATTAGTATTATTAATATAAATTATTATTAGTAGTATTACTAATTACTAGAAATAGTAATTATTAATAGCATCTATTGTTATTAGTATATCATCTTATTATAATACATATACTTCTTGATTAATACATTAAAATAGTATAGTTTCATCTTAGTAGTCATATTAGTAAATAATCAGGCTTATTCTTCTTCATCTTCTTATAAGTATACTATAATTAGTAATGAGTAAGTAGTAAGAGTATTAGTAATAGTATTCGTATTACTATTATGGAAATTAGTATTAGTATTGGTATTAGTATTAGTATTAGTATTAGTATTAGTATTAGTATTAGTATTAGCATTAGTATTAGTATTAGTATTAGTATTAGTATTAGTATTAGTAGTAGTATTAGTATCAGTATTAGTATTAGAATTAGTATTAGTATTAGTAGTAGTAGTAGTAGTAGTAGTAGTATTAGTACTAGTATTAGTATTAGTACTAGTATTAGTATTAGTATTAGTATTAGTATTAGTATTCGTAGTAGTATTAGTATTAGTACTAGTATTAGTATTAGTATCATGATTATTAGTATTAGTGTTAGTGCTAGTATTGTTATTGCTATTATTATGATGCTTCATATTATTCTTATCAATATTGTTATGACTAGAAATGATATCAGTATTCTTATTATTCGTAATATGTTTCTTACTATTATTATCATTAGTATTATTAGTAGTCTTCGTATTAGTAGTATTAGTATTATGATTCGCGTTCTGACTAGCATTCTTCTTGCTCTTAGCATTATTCTTGTTCGGAACATTAGTAGTATCCTTCTTATTGACACTTTTATTACTGTTAGTATTCTTAGTATTCGTCTTATTAGCATTATCTTTCTTCTTATGAGTCTTAGTAGTCGTATTCGTGTTATGGTTCGTCTTATGCTTATTATTGTTATTATTACTAGCATGGTACTTCTTAGTATTAGTATTCTTCTTAGTGTTAGTATTAATCTTAGTTTTTTATCATTATTCGCATTATTATTCTTATGATTAGTATTACTACTATTAATATGATTAGTACTCGTCTTCGAATTAGTGTTCTTATTACTACTAGTATTAGTATGCGTATGCTTCTGTTTATGTATATTCTTCTTAATATCATCCTTGGTATTATTATGATTATTCGTATTACTAGTATTCTTACTATTCGTATTATTATTTTTACTATTATTATTGTTCGTCGTCGTCTTATGCTTCGCCTTCTTCTTCTTATTCCTCTTCCTCTTCCTTTTCCTCTTCCTCTTCCTCACCTCCTCCTCCTCCTCCACCTCCTCCTCCGCTTCCCTCGATTTCCTCCCTCCTCCTCCTTCCTCCTCCCCCCTCCTCTTCCTCCTCCTCCTCCTCATCCTCCTCCTCCTCCTCCCTTCTCCTCCTCCCCTTCCTCCCCTCACTCTCTCCTCCTCCTCCTCCTCCTCCTCCTCCTCCTCCTCTTCCTCCTCCTCATCCTCCTCCTCCACGCTCTCACTCCTCCGTCGAATACTATTAATCATCCTTAATCCACCGTCCTCCTCCGTTCCTCTTCTCCTCCCCCTCCATATCCCACACTCCTCCCCCTCCCATCGTCAATATCGGGTGCGGCAAAGAGGGGGCTGTCCAAAGAGGGGGGTGGGGGCAAATCATGACCGTGTGTGAGCGTCATCTGCGCGGCCCATCATGGGGCAGGGAAGAAATGAAATAAAAGAGGTCGCCATGAAATACTGGGATATAGCATGGCCCCCGCCATGATATCCACCCCCCCTAGTCATCACCCCCCTCTTTTCCGCCCCCGATCTTATTCGTATCCTTCATATTAGTCGTATTCTTATTCTTATGTTTCTCATTCGCATGCTTAGTTCTATGTTTATTGGTTGTAGTTTTACGACTCGTATTAGTATGGTTAGTTTTCTCAATATCGTTAGTGTGCTTATTATCATTAGTATTCGGAGACTGCCTATTAGCATGATTAGTTGTTTGATTAGTTCTAGTATTCTTGGTACGATTCTGAGTCGTAGTATTTATGTGCTTGGCATTCTTATCAGTATCACCAGTATTAATACTCGTGCGATTATAATTTCTCGTATTGCGATTAGTAGTTTTAGTCTTCGTATTATTGACCGCAGTATTACTAATATGCTTATGATTGATAGCATGGCTATGCTCGTATATTTAACAGTATGACTTCTTTTCTTATTCTTGACCATATGATTGTTCAGATTATATGTCTTCGTGTGCGTCTTAGTATGCTTAGAACTCCAGTTACGAATGTTGATATTATTAGTATGGTTGTTATTAGTATGACTGATAAAAGAAGGTATTGTTATTAGTATGAGTGATATTGTGATTAATGTTAGTAGTCGTAGTAGTAGTAGTAGTAGCAGTAGTAGTAGCAGCAGTAGTAGTGGTGGTGGTGGTGGTAGTAGTAGTAGTAGTAGTAGTAGTAGTAGTAGTAGTAGCAGTAGTAGTAGTAGTAGTAGTAGTGGTAGTAGTAGTAGTAGTAGTAGAAGTAGTAGTAGTAGTAGTAGTAGTAGTAGTAGTAGTAGTAGTAGTAGTAGTGGTAGTAGTAGTAGTAGTGGTAGTAGTAGTAGTAGTAATATCAATGTTCTTCCTCGTCTTCTTCCGAAAGAGCGTGATCCACCGCCGCTTTACTGTGGAAAATTCCCGCCCCCTCTTCCTCCGTAACCCGGCCCCCCCCCTCCGAAAATCCCCTGCTGGAGCCCCCTTTCCCCCCCCGCTTCCCCCCGGCAAACCCACCCCTACCCCCCTTGCGAAAAACCGGGAGGGGTCACTACCGGTTCGAATCCCCCCCCCTCTGGACAACCAGCGGCGTCACTACCGGTTAGAACCCCCCCCACCCCAGAAAACCGGGGAGGGTCACTACTGGTTCGAACCCCCTCTCCCTCCCCGGAAAACCAGGGAGGGGGCCACTACCAGTTCGACCCCCCACCCTTCCGGAAAACCGGGGGGGGGGACTTCCAGTTCGAACCCCCCCCCCCGCTCACCGCCGGCAAACGACTCCCGGGCCCCTGCCACCGTCCGCACCACATCCCCCACCTAATGTCCCCAGCACCACTGTCCTCACCACCACTGTCCCCACTGTTCCCACCACCGTCCCCACTGCCCCCACCAGTGCCCCCACAACTGTCGAACTGTTCCCACTGCCCCCACCGCTGTTCCCACCACGGTCCCACTCTCCCCACTTTCTCCACGGTCCCAACCACTGTCCCACTGTCCCCATTATCCCACTGTCCCACTGCCCCCGCCGCTGTCCCAGTGAGCTGTCCCACTGTTTCCAACACTGTCCCCACCACTGTCCCCAGTGTACCTCTGTCTCATTGTCCCACCGCCGTCCTCGCCACCGCCCTCACCACTGTCCCCACGACCGCTGTCCCCACCACTGTCCCACTGTCCCCACCACATTCCCATTGTCCCCACACCACTGTCCTCACCACCACCATTCCCACCACTGTCCCACAGTCCCCACCACTGTCCCATTGTCCCCACTGTTCCCACCATTGCCCCCGCTGTCCCCACCAGTGCCCCCACCAGTGTCTCACTGTCCCCACTCTCCCCGCCTTTGCCCCACCACGGCCCCACTCTCCCCAATTTCCCCACGGCCCCCACCACTTCCGCAAATCTCCTTCCTTCAAAACTCATATCTCTGTACCTAACTCATAATCTCTCTACTCGCTCTCTATCTCGCCTACTCTACTTAAGTAACTACATCTAAGCCTGCTCTATACCTCAAAGAACTTCACACCTCTCCAATCATGCCACTCACCCTTCCCTCCCCAAAATAAGCGTCGTCAGTGCAAACCCACCACTGTCCCACTGTCCCCGCCGCTGTCCCACTGTGCTGTCCCACCGTCCCCACTGTCCCCATCACTGTCCCACTGTCCCCACTGTCCCCACCACTTTCCCCACTGTACTACTGTCCCACCACTGTCCTCACCACTGTCACCACCCTAACCGTCCCCCAAAGAGGCCACAGTCCACTCCCCCCCCAAACGCCCTAACCCCCACCCCCCCTAAAACCCCCGCTGTCCCTCTGTCCCCTCGCCACTGTCCCCACCGCCACCGTCCCCACCACTGTCCGCACCACTGTCCCACTGTCCCCACCACCACTATCCCCATCACCACCGTTCCCACTGTCCCAGTATCCCCACCATTGTCCAACTGTCCCGACGAGCGGGAATCGTCTGCCGGCGGCGAAGGGGGGGGGGTCGAACCAGTAGCGACCTCCCCCCGGTTTTCGAAGAGGGGGTTCGAACCGGTAGTGAACCCCCTCACTTCATGGTGGACCGGGGGGGAGGGGTTCGAACCGGTAGTGACCCCCCCCCCGGTTTTCGAAGAGGGGGCGGGCGGCGGGTTGGGAACCCTCAGTGACCCCCCCCACTCGGTTTTCCGCCAGCAGCGATCGAATACGCTGTTTCCTTTTTCCTCCTCCTCCTCCTCCTCCTCCTCCTCACTACCTCCCACCTCCTGCCTCCTCCTCCTCCTCCTCCTCCACCTCCTCCTCCTCCTCCACCTCCACCTCCACCCTCCTGAATCCTCTTAACCTCCCGTCCTTCCTCTCCACCTCCTGCTCCTCCTCCTCCTCCTCCCATAACCTCCTCATTCCTTCTCCTCCTCCACCTCCTCCTCCTCCTCCTCCTCCTCCTCCTCCTCCTCCTCCTCCGCTCCGCTCCGTTCCGCTCCGCTCCGCTCCGCTCCGCTCCGCTCCGCTCCGCTCCGTGGGAACGCCAGTCAATGCCTGAAGCCCCCCAGACAACACCGCGGGCCGCCACCGCGCGGGCCCGCTCACACCTTGGAGGCGGGTGGAGAGCCCGCCTGGCCACGACTCCCAGAGGGGAAGCCCCAGCCGGGGAGGCTGAGGGGGGCCCAAAGGAGACCTGCGCAACCACGGAGGGCTAGAAGAGAGGCACGGCAGACCCGGCCCCCTGGACAAGACTCCCAGGCGAGGGACCCCCGGCCAGGAAGGCCAAGTTGCTCGTCAGGAGACCTGCTGATCTAGGGGAAGGAGCGGAATGCAGTTCCACTGGGGCCCCGGTGCACCGCCAGACCCAGAGGCACCCCTCCTCTTCATCCTCCTCCTCCTCCTCCTCCTCCTCCTCCTCCTCCTCCTCCTCCTCGTCTTCTTCAATATGCTCGTCCTCCTCCTCCTCCTCCTCCTCCTCCTCCTCCTCCTCTTCTTCATTATCATTGTCCTCCTCCTTCTCATCC